ATCCATCCATCCATCCATCCATCCATCCATCCATCCATCCATCCATCATCTTAAAGCTATCCCTTTAAGAGTCACACTTTACAGGACACTGCTTTTCTGACTATACAATTAGATTTTAAACAACATATGTGAGAGTGCGTAATACACTTTCCTAATGGGACAGAAGGGATGCCTGTATACGTGCGACTTACCCATCGATGATGAGGTGCTCGTAGGGGGCCTTCTTGTCACAGACAGGACACACCCAGGTGGGCTTCTTCTCGTTCATCTGGATGTAAAGCGTGGCGTCGAAGCACTGCAGATGGGAGCATGTCAGCGCCCTGCACGGGATCATCAGTCGCATCTTCCCCAGCTGCACAGAGAGCACGCAAATATGTGTTCAGGGCACCCAGAGGAGCCATGCAGCGGGGATCATGGGTAAATAGCACTCCTAAATGTCATAAATATCCCAAATCCACATGACGCTGACACGTGATGGCGCTTTGGAAGACAGTTGGATAGGTGAACACGTTTGCAGCTAAGAGTTATGTGCATAAAGGCGTGCAGAGTCGCATGCAAAGTCAAAAAACAAGGAGCAGAAAAAATGGGCAAACGTGTTTCAGCACGACTGAGCGTTAAAAATTCATGAGGAGCGGGGAGGATGATTACCGGGCAGAGCAGAGACACTCGCAGGCTCGTTGTGGCTATTTCACTGTCGGGGTCTGCCGTTAGCTTCTCTTTGACTGCAGGAAACAGATAAAGAGATAAACATGAACACGAGTTATTGAGGATTCAAACAGACGGACCTGTTCGTACAGATGTGCTCCCTAAATCACTGTCAGACCAGAAGACGGTGCGAAAAATATATTCCAGAGCTCCGCGCAACGCCACTGCAGCTTCCTGAATAAAATCATTTGTTTCCACATGACTGGATCAAAGAAATACCAAAATGTGCTTCCATACTGCAAAGCTGACTGTTTTATAATAAGCTATTATTTGAGCTAACCGTAAAGTTATTTTGGATCTAACGTTTGTGTTTTATTCTTCATTCAGTTTGCATAAAAATCTAATGCCAAACTTTTTTTTTTCTCTTAAATTAATTTTGGACTTGCTGTACGTCTTTTGCAATAAACTCCAAGTATATTTTTATGTAGGAAAACTTACAGGCAGAAAACTTTGCAGAAATTCAAACAATTGGACAAATAAAACTAGATTTTTTGCTACATTAGTTTCATTAAAAACTTGTACAATTCCATGAATATATGCGATACTAAATGTTGAAACGGATTATTTTTAACAAGTTTGATTTATTTCAATATGATTATACTCAGTTTAAATTTGAAACTGACAAGACACGTCAAAAAGAAGCTTAAAGAACTCATCAGAGCAACTCCGATCAATTTGTAAGTTTTTTTAAAAATTTTTTTATATACCGGTACCTTTATTTTACCAGGAAGAAATCCATTGAGATCATCAGTCTCTTTTTCAAGGATGTCCTGGAAAACTACAGTAAGTTGTGTAACACAATATAGGCTAAAAAAGTTAATTTTAAAGTTAAATATGAGAAAAGTTCCCTGATTTGTTCAAATCTGTTTGGACAAAATGGTCAGCCATATAAAAACTATGATTTTAAACAAAAATGGACTTTGTTATTTGTAATTAAAAACGAGATTCTGTGAATATTGACAATTCCTCACACGCAAAAACAAATAAACTAAAGATTGCAACCTTCTGGTCTTGATGTTGCATAAAACAAACCAACACAATTATTCTAGATTATTGCTGAAATAACAAATACTATTTTTAATGTGAATAAATCAGAGTTAGAATTACACAAAACTTCTTTAAATCATCAAAGTTCACGCTCAGTATTTCAGGTAAAAATCCAACAATGTTCATCAGTCAGGTCATCTGGATGTTTTTTTGTCATACTGAGACGTTTCGTCCTTCATCCAAAGGACTTCTTCAGTCTGAGGAGCCACAACAAACAGAACACTCCAAAGTGAAAAAAATAAACTTGCTTTAAATCATCTGACCAATAAAAACGATGTTGAAATGATCCTTGTAAGTCCTTGATGTTATATTTCAGCATAACAAGTGAACAAAAAAAAATGGAGTCTGTAGTTTGAAAACTGTTTAGAGCATGAAAATAAGTTTTTATAAAACACAACGTTACAAAAAACAAAAAAACCCAACTTGTTGCTGATGCTAACATTAACCTAACACTAATAAAAAAAACTCCTCCGGTCTACATGCTGATTCTGTCATACTTTTGCTTAAGAACAGAACTCAGATGATGTATCTCCCACTGCGTGTTGTTTGGAAACGGGTCAAACATAATAAATCTGTGTGCTGTCTGAGTGCATCTGCTCAGTTTCATCAAATACTGAGAGATCTTTGTTACGAGGGTCATCCTCACCTACTATCACACCAAATTTAGCTCAATATTTGTGAGATTTACTGAATTACAGCAATTATTGTGTTGGTTAAGGTTAAATAAGTGTGGCAGCCATCTTGAATTGGGTCAACTCTAAAAATTATCAGTTGTACATCCAATGATTAGTTTCTGAAAGTTGCATTAAATTCTGTCCAGCAAGATATTTTGCTAACAGACAGTTATTTTAGCAGTTAATGCTAAAATGTTAAGCTAGATTATCTCTAAATGTGTGGCCTTTAGAGTGTGTTTGGAGTGATGCTCAGCTACTACTGCACCAAATTTTAGCTCAGCATGTGTCAAATTTAGCTGAGCTGTAGCCATTCTTGTGTTTGCTTGTGTTGGTTTAATGTAACGGCCATTTTAAAATGGTCCGACTCCAAAAGATCATCATTTATAGAAGTCCATCCAATTTTCTATACGGTAGTCCCTCACTACTTCGCGGTTCGTTTAACGTGGACTCGCTCTTTTGCGTTTTTTCGATGTAAAAGTGCACATGACACACAAATTGGCTGATTGATGGATGAGCCACACAATCGGCATGGACTGTTTGTTTAAAATAAAATGTTTTAAATGATTTGACACCTGTGTGCAGCCCACAGGTCCAGGGAGAAGCTCCCTCTGCAGCCTGTCATGATCTCCCCTCTCTGACACGCCACATTTCTCCTCCGTGCTGAAGCAGCTTCTTAAAGGGTTAACCCTTCGCTGTCCAGCTGCACAGATCCACCTTTGTCTTCCAACTTAAAATTCAAAGTACGTCACATCGTAAAATCGTCATAATCACCAAATATAAACGTGTTAAAAGTTATTTTTTTTTATTATTTTAGAACCTCTATGTTCAGTTGTTTCAGTGTAATTGATCAAAAAGTACATTTCTGCTCCGTGCTGCTGCGTGGAGGGTTAACCCTTTGATGTCCTGCTGCGCTTCTCTTCTCTACAATTTAAACTTAAATACTGTAACATTTTACATTGTTTATTTAAAATATTACAGTATTTAAATTTAAATGGTTTATTTACACAGAAGGAGGGAGATGGGGAGTGAAACTTGAACTACTGTATCCCTACTTCACGGTTTTCCACTTATCGCGGGGGGCGTGGTCCCCTAAACCTTGTGATAAACGAGGGACCACTGCACTCTATTTGTTGTCCGTCAAAAACAGGTCTCTCTTATAAATGAGTCCTGAGTCCTCATGACTCAATGAGACTAGCCTGTATAAATAAAGGTTAAATAAATTTAAAAACAAATCTGTGAAGAAATAGGCTGATGTTCTTACTGAGCGCTCTGGAGTGGTCGGGGTTTCTGATGCCTTTTGCCCGTAGTCTCTGTAGCAGCACTGTGGATGACTGCTGCTTCACCAAGTAAACCGCCATGGAGTAACTCTGTGGACACACAAGAACTTACAGAATGACGTACCTGTGTGAAGAAGAGATCATTTACAACACGTCTACAGATAAATGGGATTTTGGCCGCTTGAGGCAAAATGTCTGAAATCACGAACAGCGTAGTGACCAAATCAGATTAAGCTGCACACAGTTTCTGTCATCAACACACGACCAATTAAAGATTCATCCAAAAATATAAAACATCAAAAACAAGTTTCTGCAATTAAGTGGGACCAAAAGCATCTTGAAAAAAATCTTAGTCAAGAAATTAAAACAAATACATATATGAGTGAATCTTTACTTTTGGGATGATTTTGTGAGCCTGTCTGTGCTTAGACACTTTATCAGACTTAGGAGGCAGCTTCTGTTCCTACCCTTCCAATCTCAGCCGTCCACGATACTACTATGGTGTTGGGGACTGTGGTGGACAATCTGACCAGTGAGGTAATGTTGATGGGCCGGCTGGGTCGCTTGGGCTCAACACCATTTTTGGTTGGAGGAAGATAACCCTTAAATACAGACATATGAAATTCAAAAGAATATAAAGCAGCTGGGCTGTGCAGGGTGATGCAGCTGATCGAGCGCTCCTCACCGGCAGGTTGCACGGCTTCCCGTTGACTTTCACACACAGATTGGGAGGAAAATGGTCTTCTTGAGGACAGCTCGTCTCCGACAGGCAAAACCGCAGCTGAACTTGAACTGAGAAGTCACATTTGGTCCCAGAGATGTCCCTTTAAAACAACATTTACATTTAGGAATAATTAACAAAAGTCAACCTTTTGAATTTCATAGAGCTGCTTTGCTCACATTGAACTGCTGATCTGTTGAACTTGCTGCGGCGTTAACGCAAAGGCAAAACACGTCTCCTGAAACCGCTGGCTGTTGTCTGACGCTGCAGAGACAAGACAGGAGGAACACATGTTTAACTAGAGAAATTGCATTTCCTGTGAAAATGCAGCGTGAATGATTATTGCTGAAGAACTTGCTGAAAAACAGCTGAAATTTGCTTAAAAAACATGCTGAAATGTAGCTTAAATGAAAGAACAAGCCTTAATTAGCAGAAGAAAGCAGAAAGAACACATTTTTGCTGAATTAGTTATAAATGATCAGAAATGAGCACAATTAGGAAATTAGCTAAAAAAAGCTGACATTAGCAAAAAAGTAGCTGAAAAGGCAGAAATAAGCTTAAACTATCAGAAGGAAGTGGAAAGAGCTTAAATGCGCTTAAAAATGTTGAATTAGATGAAAAGGCTAAAATTAGCATAAAACAGCTAAAATAGCATAAAAAAAGCTGAAAGGAGCATAAAAGAGCTGAAATTAGCTAAAAATGCTAAAAAGGTAGCTGAAAAGGTGGAACAAGCATAAGTTAGCAGATGAAAGCAGAAATAACACATTGGTCCAATTATACTAAAGAAGCAGAAATGAGCACAAATAAGTGGAAATTATCTGAACAAAAAAAGAAGCATAAAACAGCAAAATAGTAGCCGAAATAAAAGCCAAAACTTGCAGAAATAAATTGAAAAGAGCATAACATGCTGCAATTAGCAGAAAAAAGTTAGAAGCACAAAAATGTTTTAATTAGCAGAACAAATCTGAAAGGACCATAAAACAGCTGGAAAAAAAGCTGAATTTAGCTGAAAGTAGCTGGAAAAGTTTAAATTTGTACAAAGAAGCTGAAAGAAACTGAAGCAGAACAAAATGTGAAAGGAGCAGTAAGAGGTTGTAAATAGATCTAAACATTTGAAGGATGGAAAATGAGCTCAATTCATTTTCTATGAGGAAAAAACTGGCAGAAAAGGCTAAATATTTCAAAAAGCTGAAGTTGCACCAATACCAAAAGTTATAGCAGGATTGTCCTGAAAAAGATGAACAATTTGATTTAGGATTTGATGAAATAGCACAAAAACTGTGGAACAATAAAGATACTGAAAAACGTACAGAAGAGAAATGGATCACAATAGTGAATGCTTCATAAACATTCAATCAATAAATAGACATGGTACATATACAGTAGATATATATATATTAGGGGTGTAACGGTACGCTAAAATCACATTTCGGTTCAGTTCAGTTTCAGGGAGGGCTCGGTTCGGTTCATTTTCGGTACAGAAAAGGCCAAAATGAAGACTTACAAAATGTTTATTTTGAAAATATGCCAAGTAAACAATAGTATAAAAATAAAAGCAAACCATTTGGAGGATATATGAAAATAAACATCACTCCTTACAATAAATAAACTATACTAACAATAATGAAAATCTTAATAAATACAATAACAGTCAGAACCAGAACAACAAGCAGCAACAGACCATTCTAACTATTAATCAAGTTTTAAGTTTTTGGACAAAAAGACCAACTTGTCCACATTTTCTGTCAAAAGCTCAGATCTAGTTGCAGTGACATCATCTCCAGAGGTGGAGAAAACCTCTCACTAACAACAGTAGCAGGATTAAAGAGGTAGAGCTTTGCTAATTTTGCAGTGTAGCTGTATTTGTCCTCATCATTACTCACAGCCCCTTCTTGGACCTGCTCCCACAGGTGGGACAGGTCCCTGGAAAAGGTCAGAGTTCACTCATCACAGACTTCTTAGCTGGAGGTGATCTCTGGTGGATTTCCCTGAAGAGGAAGACAACTCACAGCTGTTATCTCTGTCCCAGACTGGAAATAAAACACAAATAGGTTAAAAAAAACGAGTTAATAAGATTATAATTTTAAATTCAAAAAGTTAGATAATAATAATAAAAGAACAATACCTCTTCTTGAACGGTTGTTATGAGGTGGTTGAATCTCTCATTCATCATCATCATGTGGCAGGACTTTAATCTGCTCCAGGGCTTGTTGACAATATCAGTTTGAGCTTTTTCATAAAGTGCTGCTACAACTTTTTGGCTGAAGTGTTGTCGTGATGTGATGTCGTAGCGGGGCTCAGTAACTTTAAAGTCGGCGCATCAACAACATTCGGACGTAGATCCAGAGTTTTAAAAACTCTTACAGCTTGTGTTATTGCTCTGGACTGATCTGAATTACCTGATAAAGGTTGTTTAAATGAAATGTTATCCGTCTTTGCAACAAGCTGCTTTTCTTGCTTGTAGAAGAGACGTTCACGTTCGGATGATGTCGTTTCAAGTGCGTTAACAAGTTAGACGTGTGGCCTGCTGCAGATCCAGTCTCTGTGAAACAACGTCAACACAGTTTTGGATTTGTTCACTTGTCTTTTAACAAGAAAGTCATAATGTTTCCAAACAGGAGACCGCAACGAGAAGCTAGGCTTCTGCGCGTGCTGCAAGATAATAGCGCCGTGCTGAAACACGCGTAGGAAATTTAGTTCTGCGGTGCATAATCTCTCGTTAATAAAATTTAATGAGTGAAAAAATAACAGAAACAGTACGCACGTGGACCGAA